GCAAGCGTGAACATTCATTTTATACACAAAGTGTGGACCAAAATAAGACTTTCTTACAATTCGGTAAGAGGAGTCATTCATTTCTTTGAAAAAACCTCATATGTTTTTTTTTACAATTTGCAATGGTCTTATGTTGAAATCTCCGACCTTTGGGCTTTCTCGTTCTCGTTTATCTGTAGAGAAGAGGGAGAAAAACAGCTGTCTTTTCGTCATTAAAGACGAGTGAATATGAGCTCAGTCGCTCTCGAAGATCGTTTGCACATGCCTCAATACCTTCTGATGCTACTTCTGGTCTGCTACATGTAATGTAGATTTGCGAGTCACCGACATAAAGCATTATCGGATAATAATGATTATGTTAAAACCCTAGCAAGTGTCTAACAGCACGAGAGGCACAGATTGGTTTTGCTATAGAAAATTTCACTAGATACTAGTATTCTCATATAATTTCTGCCCAGATATACAATGATGAAGTCCAAGTGATATTTACTGGGTTGATCACTGTTAACGTAGATATCGGTACTGAGGCACCGGTGTACAAGACTGAGGGTCTGTGTAACTGAAAGTCCCTCCTCCATTTAGTTATAATTGTTAGGGTTAGCCTGACCCAAGTGGGTCAAAATCTATACTTTACCTGTACAAAGGAATGGGAAGCGGACTCTCCATCATGGGGGACGTCACGTCACACCGGCCTTCTTTGCAGCTATATAACAAGATGTGGACTTTTTTTTCCTGAAGAGCTTGCTCTCCAGACAAAAGAATGCTGTAGAGCAAGCTCTTCAGTAAACAAAAGAAGTCCACATCTTGCCATCTAGAGAAAAAGGCCCACATTCAATAAAAAAAATGAGGATGCTCTTTAACACGGGGTCCGCTCGTTGTCTCTTACAAAAATATAAAATCTTCTTTGATTTTGGAAACTTTTCTTTGGGCCCCTATGGTAGCAGAGGGTAATTTAGACAGCAGGGGGTGGGGTGCAACAAATGGCGAGCCAATCTGTTGTCCGCAATACCCCCTCTTCTCCATAACCAGGGTCAGCCGCTGTCCTGGAATGTCAACAGGCAAAAGTCGCACCTGTTAACACCCATGCCCCCCTGCAAACACTGAACACAATGGATTCACATGTTTTGCATTACAGCCGCATAAATAGTATAGGGGACTTTTAATTCTCCACTGGCTGACAACCCTTTGATGTTAACGATGAACACATTCGAGTCATTTCGCAGTGAAAAGCAATCAACAGATCCCCATACATTCCATTACAACGGTGACACTCTTGAAGCATGATGGAAAGCCCAGGTGGTCTGCACAAAAACTAATGGAATCCATGATTTGGGTGTCACTAACACTCATTTTGTTGTTTGTTTCCTTTTTTTTTTTTTTTTTGGGGGGGGGGGGTGCATATTTTCTACTGTAATTAATTAACTGCATCCTATCAATTGTTAATGCATGCGTATCTGCTCAGTCAAAAAGTCAACCTGGTTTTATTCGAACGTTTGATTCAAAGGCATAGGGGTGAAGGTTTTGGATCAAAACAAGACAAGTATTGTGATAGATATTATGATATCGTTATATGTCATTCATCATTTCAGGTTATTGCGTTAACAAGAAAATAACTACCTTCGTTACCGCTTCAATGACACAAACACACGAAGGAAATCGCTACATTTACAGAATATAGTATCTACAGAGATAAAATTTATCTGTAATTTTGTTTTTAGATAAGGTGAGATCGACATTGGGTATTCTGGAATAAAATATCGAAAATGAGATCAAAGTCGGTTTCATGGAGTATTTTGCGCTACTTATTTGCCAATATGCCTTTTAGATTGCCAATGTGAAAAAAGTCTAGACTGAATATATTAAACTTTTGACAAATGCATGGTCATGTATATTTAGCACTTAGTGAAGTGTTTCGGTGAAAATGTTATCCACAAATATGAAAAACCTCACTACATGAGAAGCCGTCTGAATAACAACGCCAATCAAAATTCATACTTCATATTCTTGCCGTTGATCCTTGGCGCAGATGTGGTGTGACTCTTAAACAGGTTTTAACCAGGTACACGGGATTTCAATGACTTATGAAAGGTGTTTTTTCAACTGCAATTCAAAATTAAGAGTGCAAGCACAAGGAAGAAGTGATTTCTGAAAAGTGCCAAACAGTTTGTTTTGCCGAAAAAATCTCCTTCGTCAGTTTGATGTGATTATTTGCAATCTCTCCGGCTTAAATTGATTCATGATTGACAGCTATCCCCAATCACAATTCTCTGTTGTTTTGTCAAAATTCTATTATCCTAGCAAACATTAAACCTTCGTTTACCAATTAGAAAAAAAATTGCCGGCTTCTTGCTGGGCAGTGTTTACAAAGCAACACACAACGTTTAAATATAGAACTCCTTCTCCTAATTCTTTTTCTTCCTTCCATGTTTTCTCGTACTTCAACACAATCTCAATAGCAGTTCAACAAGAACAGCTTAAAACATCTAATCTTGCTTGCACTGGAATCGAGTTGCAAGGATGGAAAATTTTGGTTTTAATTTTTAAAAGATAATGATGATTTAATAAGAATAGATGTTGATGTTTATTTAACAGTCCATGTGTGCACTTTGAGGCGCCTTTTATGGAACCAATTTCATTTCATTTTCATCACAGACATCTTATCCCTTTAAAAATTAATGAAGATTCGTAACGGTTCGTTTAAAGGAATTTCGTGAAAACACCTGGATACAAATTAACCTTTTAAATCCAGTGTCGCATCTAAATACCATGCGTTCGGAATAAACACTCTATCCTTTTATGCATTTCATGGGGTTGAGAAGGGTGATAGACTACAAGTTATTTGTTGTTGTTTTTTCCTCTTAAAAGATCAGTTTTAACATTATATTGCTATAACACCGTCATTCCGTTCCATATTTTCTCAGAAGTTTCCAAAGGGAATTTCAAGTATTGTTATCTTTGTGATAATAACTCACTAGCCAAGGCCACGTTTCCATGAAATCCTGAAAAGTGCCTCTTTAAACAAGCTTCGTTAACGGAATAAGAACAGACCACAAATTGCTTATGGCATAACAACTTAAGCGGTGAAACGTAGATATGAACGCATGGGTTATAAATTGCCATCCCAACGGTGTTGACAGCGGTGTAGCTAGTTTCCGTTCCAACCTATAGAGGCAAAATCTTTTAAAACTTAAAAGTTGTAAAATTTAAAGCATGCAAAATACTTCATACATGATTGGTGTTTTAATTTTCAACGTAAAGCTGCACTGTGCTTAGTCCATTACAACAGTATAGATAAGCAAGCAAATTCGCACTCACATAGGCCTACACCCACTAAAAAGCTCTTATAGAGAAACAAAAAGACATATCACTTATTAGCGAAGTCTGAATCAATCAGGTTCTGCGTTTGCACGGCTGTTTGAATTATTTTCCGAAGCGAATTACCAAGAACGTTTGCTTAAGCGCTCTGTGATATAATCTCTTTAAATCACCCGCCCTCGTTCTTTCAAGTTGTAATCAGCCGCCAAGCAGCTAGTTAAGGCAGCACTGGCACGATTTCCAACTAACTTAACCCTTCTGCGGTATTCACGTTTTTGGACACATCCTTTGTAAAGCAACATCCACCCGCAGTTTTACATAATATCTTTGAGGTAATGAAGCAAGCTGTTAAGAACGCCGGCACTTTTTTCATCAGCACAACAGCCTTGTATAACACAGCACAAAGGAAAATGAATTGTGTGGTTTCCTAGTAATTACATGTATGATGGATATTGGATATTTTTCTAATCAGTGATTTCATTGTTATCAATTCAAACCCCTTTATAGTTATTAATTCCCCTTCTTTTAAATGATATCTCTAATAAAAATAATGGATCCCTGAATAAATCATCAATAAATTGCAGCAAAGGCTTCAAGATTTGGAAGAATATATTACCGTTGATTTCTACTGAATGTATTCTATGTCTATGTATGGGCATCCCTAAACAAGATTTTATCACGACAATTGGCAGAGTTGACCTGGAATGTATAGGTTACCCCGTGTCGTTTTTATGGTATTTATGTTTTTGGTACGGAGTTATGAACCCCTAATTACAGATTTTCATTAAGCAAAGGCATTATTTTGCTTTTTCGACGATAAAAGAAAAATCGCAGACATGGTTTTGTAGTACTAAATGATGTCATTAAAATCGGCGTTGAAACGGTGATCGTGGGTGCTCAGGTAAAAGAGAAATTTGAGAAACCGATTTTTCAGTCTTTACCCCAAAATCGCATTTATGACGTCACCTGTAAGATGGCATATGTATAAATGTTAATTAATTGAGTCACTGAACACTGAAGATTTATTTATTATCCAAAAGAATGTATGTAAGGCAGTAAATTAGGAGTTTTGGGCGAAGGGTGACAATATCCTTAAGGCAACCTTGTTTAAATTTGTTTTTAAAGTGTTTGGAAGTACGTTTTCTTTTCGATTATAAATGTGTTTTGGGCTAAGGTGACCGAGGGCCAGGTCCATTCCATTGCCTCTTTATGGGAGTAAGAAACATTAAAGCGTCCTATAATTTCTACTCAATTTTGACCCAGTTTAAGTTTCAATTTATCACGCGACAAAATGTTTTATTGCGCTTAAAGTTAAAGTTCATTCGCACTGAATAGAAAATTAATCAGTGGCTTCAGCTCAGCATCAGTTTAAAACTGTGGCATTTAAAAGACCAAACCTTGTGTTCCCGCCAGTGTTGGCTATGGCCTATGACGTGAGGGAATGATGTGCAGAAAGAAGCCAAGTAATAATGCAGGGGTTGAGAAGTGACTGACTGAAAATGATTAACCAGATTTGTTTTGTTCAAAACAGAGCTGCACGGCACATCATACCTGAAAATATATTCCCTGTTGGTTTGGGTTTGAGCAGTCTGTTATTTACCTAAGAAATTGCTTATTGTCTACAAATATGTTAAATGAATCTCAAACACCGCAATTTAACAATGTTTCATTTCCGATTAACTTACGTATGAAACCATGGGGACATTATACGCTGCCGCAACTTTAGCCTCGAAGATGCAGGTTTCCTGTGGCCCTATGATGGCACTGATGCTTTCGTTCGTGGACAAATCGCACGCGTGTCGAACGCTATTCAATTCTTTGCCGTATGTCTCCTTGACTGTGAATTCCAGTGTATGGTTAGGTAAAATGTTGGAGTCATTGTTAATTTCGTTCACCGCCAGTGTCAGCGCCCCAGAGATGTTGATCCCAGGCCTTTTATACATGCTTTTTGGATGGGGTTTCTCGGACCCGGTGATGTACCCTATCCGAATCGAGTCTGAAGACCCTTCAGACAACCTCAGGGAGACAAGGAAAGCCATCACAAATACTCGATTCTTTACCAACAACATCGTCTTCTGTTACGTGAAATTTGTAGTGAAAGTGCGACTTAACAAATCATTCTGTTGGCTTAAACCTTCTCGGCGAAGTACTGAAAAATCCAATGTTTGACAAACTCTTCGGACACTAGGAAACTTGTTGTTCGAGAAGTAATCAGCGTCCGATGATGAAGCTCGACTTTAGTGTTGCCCAGCTTTGAGGTTCTTGTTAAATGATTTCAACCAACTCGTTATTTTCTCGGGAACTGCCCGCTAAAATGACACATTTCTATTTCACAGCATGTCGAAACTAAATTATTACCCTCACAAATGCCAAGCCTCCTCAACAATGCAAGTCAATGAGTTGGGCGCGTGTCAGAGAATTTTCTCTTTGGCGGCCGACTCGACTGTTGTAAAGTTTAACTCACAAAGTTTAACTCATTTTCTGTCAGTCGAGTAGTAAACACATCACAAAATATGGGAAGGGTACCTTTCAAGTCCGCCCTTTGATCGTTTTCGATCATCTTACAAGCACATGTCATGAAAGTCCATCCCTTTTACCAAATTTGACTGTCTAACGTCCGTACTTCATTTAAAATCATTTAAAACGCCGCCAAAGTTTATATAATGCGCGTAGATAATTAACTGTTCGATTCAATTACGTCTCTGTGTCTCACTGGCAACGATGATACATTGCAGTAACCGACACCGTATCAGCAGCAGCATATTCCACATATTTCGACCTACGGAATCGATAATCCTTAAACACTGGGCACTTTTCGTAAGTAATCAGTGCACTTCATGATTGAGAGAAGATGTGTGATTCCACGTTTCAAACCCTTAAAAGTCGCTGATGTCTCGCAGTAATCTCGGCAATCATTCGAACATGTGTCCGGTTGTTCATTGGAGATAGTGCAACGGGAGCCTCTTTATTAAGCTCAGAAATATACATGCAACACCACAGTCTCCAAGACTCTCCAACAACATTTATCAAATGTCACACTCTTTCGTTCAGATTTAACTAAAAATAAATGCCGAGTTTTTTTTTCGAAAAGGAGAAAAGCATTACGCAGACGACATGGAGGGTGTCGCGTCAAGTCTCAGAGTACTGCTTTTGCTGGTAGGGAGTAATTTAATGGTATGATAAAAGAGGGTAGTTAAGTCATTCTCTGAAGTGTATTCCTGCTGGCGCTCGACATTAGACGATAAAACAGATGAGAGGAATGCATTGCCAAGTAACTTAACCGTCAAGCAATCTGGGCTTAGTGGTTTTTCTTCAAAGAGTGAGTTGTCCTTTCGGTAGGTGAATAACTATTACCCTTGGGTGTAACATCATAACCGGTAATATCTTCAACCTTTCACGTACATCAAGGTAACGCGAATATTGCATTATTCCTTTAAAATCTTCAACAACGAAGAGCAAATGCAGGCATTGTTGTTCAACGGAAAAGACCCCACATCAATGTTATCTCAAATTAGTAGGTCCATTACGTCTCCTTAAAACATTCGTTATATATTAATCTGACTACAGCGACATATTGCAGTGGACAGCATCAATATTGGTCGTTTTGTCAAACTCTCCCTCTCTCTCTCTCTCTCTCTCTCTCTCTTTCTCTCTCTCTCTCTCTCTCTCTGTGTGTGTGTGTCTTTGTGTGTGTGTGTGTGTGTGTGTGTGAACTTATTTTTCAAGCAGAGGAGATTCGAGTCATAGGATTCGTGTAATCGCTTCATATCTATATCTCGAAAGAATTTCCTGGGACTTAGACAATATTTTTATTTTAAGACAGTGTGATTCAGTCACCTAACCCTGTATTTATTTTTTTTCTTACATCCTTTGTCTTTTACCATAGGGGAGACCGGGGCTAGTTGGACCCCGAGTTAAGTTGGCCCCACATCCATTTATGACAAAGTAACTATGGGGGAAAAGAATTGATCACATCATTTTGTAAACTGACCTTATCCAACAGTGCTAAGAAAGCGTCGGCAGTGAGTCCAAATGAAATAATTTAGCATCTTAAAGTAACTTTATTAAAGAGACTTGATGGGGTCCAACTTACCCCGGGGTCCAACTAGCCCCAGTCTCCCCTACCAGCTGCCGTTTACACAATAATATGACCGATTTATATTTAATGAAAGGATGGGAAGAATTCTTGTTATCTAAAATAGTCGGCATTAATTAACTTGGTCAAGGAAAAAACAATAATGATCATATTAAGGAATCGCCTACTTTTATTTTCGAAGCCTTATCATATTAGGTTGAAATTAAAGAGAAATAGCCTGTTTGACTAATATCAACGTGAATTCAGTTCTTCTTATAAGAAACATAACAAAGAAAACTGTGTTTTTTTACGTGATGATGTTGATAAAGATCATACTAAAAGACTAATAAAGAATAAGCGCTATAACTATCAATAATTACCATGCCCTCAGTTTCCAATGAAAACGAAAGGAAAACGGCCTGCCTGAAATTCTCAAAATATCTGATGTAGTCTTTAAGTGATAAAGGTAAATATAATTTTGATTTGCCTTCAAACAAAAACCTTCACCCAAAACAAGGCGACTTATTGCATTAGTATTGCTCGTAACGTCAGATATATTGCAGTAGAGAAGATAGAACACCCACCACAGCCAGTCTACAGTCGTCGCAATTTCTGCTTGAACTTGATCAAAATATCTTCATAATCACCATCAACCAGACCTTTCTGGCTGTCCGGGACGTTCATTTCAAGCGGTTGGCCATTTTCCCAATCATCGATCTCCTTTAAGAATTCTTCCTCGTTCCAGTCAGACATGAGTTTATTAAACAAATGCTTATCATCATCATCGATTACGTCCTTCTGAGGGTATATCTTCTCTAAATCGGTGTCGATTTCAGTGTTAATTTCGTCGTCCATTTCTTCCCAGTTATCTTCTGCTGACCCGTACCCTTCGATACCCTCAGGACTGCCGAGGTGCCCATCTTTCCAGTTCAGGCCATCCCCTGCGTTGTTCACGCCAAATAAAGAAGGGTCATCCGTGACGTCATGTCCATGGTGGTCGTCGGTTGGATGATTCTCATGATTTCCTTCGACTTCAAATGGATGTTCCGTCGTCTGTTCGTCGTGCAAGTAGGTGGCTTTTCTGTCACTTATCAAGGCCTTAGCGTCAAACAAAACCTTTTCGATCTGAGCGATATTCAGATCTCCTGGCGCGCCTATTTCTAAACGAGCGCTGTCTAGAGAAAATGGTGGTTTCGGGGTGGTAGGTTTGATATCGTCCATCAGCATTTCGGTTTCACTGGTGCGTCGGTCCTTCACACGATTGAGAATGTCTGGAAATTTTTCGTACCCTAGCTCTTCGATCACATCATAACAGATCTCGTCTATCTTGAAAGCCATGTCGGTCGGGATACTCAATTCCCAAGCATGCGCAGTCTCGCTGGAGTTAGCTCGGGTGGTCTCGAACAACTCCGTGTCATTTACACCAGCCGCTGTGTTTTCCAAAACCCAATCTAGAACATTTTTCGGTAGCTCTTTTCCCAGAAACGTATGTATCTTTTGTGCTGTTTCCACAGGATAATCCGCCATGTCCTCGTACAGAATTCGCATGATTCGCCCCGGGTATTTTTTGAAAAGATGTCCACCGGTAGTCAGATCCTTGGACATGTCATAGCATCTTGCGCTGGCCTCAAACTCTAACTTGCAGCCGGCTTGGGTAGACGTAAACCTGGATAAAATGGATGCTCGGGGATCCCTGAACAGATGAATAACCTTCATACCTGGATTTTCTAGAAGCACTCGCTCCAGCATCCACATTCGAAATCGAATGGTCTTAATAGCTCTTATGGTAGAATTATCGCAAACGGCTTGGGCCAAAGGAACGCACAATGCGTCCTTTTTCGCATCGTTATCTTTTTTGATACAGTCTATATATTTTGCCAATGCCTTATGTCTCCCATTGGCGCTAAAGAACCAGTGTCCGTCGTCGCCAAAAGGTGCTAATATCTCCATGGGGACTTGCCCTAAGTCGCATCTCGCCATGTTGGTGATCAGTTCTTGAGAAAACGAGCCAAAGTCTTCAGTTGCTGGCATTGGTCTGCAATCAAAATAGCATTAAAACGACATAGGTACATGTATTACATTTATTTACGGTGACTTTTAAGAAAAAAAATGACAAAAACTTCCACTGAGAAACAGAGAGGTAAGCACACATCCTCCATCTTGTTAGTCTTGGTTAAAGAGCTACACTATCACTGTATATACAGAAGGCTTGGGATGCTGGTTCATTATATATTTAAGTCATAAAGAGAAATAATTAAAGAGCTTCAATATGGTTAACACACTTTTCCGCATTAACATGCAAACTCAAATGGATAGCATATAACTATGTCTTTCTTATAAGAGGGTACCTGACGAGTGCTTTCAAATGTTAACTTTGAGCTTACCTTTTATTCCCATTTGCAAGTAGCAGAGTGCTCGGAAAAGTTGGGTTTATCTTGTTCTCGTATAAGGCCCAGAGAGGCTCAAACAGATAAAAGGCTGATGGGTTCTGGTTGAAGAGCTCCCCAATCAGAGAAGAACCACTGCGTTGATAGGTCAGAATCAGCACCGCCGTGGTTGGGGCCGGTTTTGGACCTGGTGTTGTAGCTGTTTTTGTTGTGGAAGAAATGCCTGCTGCCGTGGAAGCGGTTCTGGTGACATCATTCGTAACTTTCTGTCTTAGAATATCATTTTGTAGAGCGCGGCGCGTACGTTTCTGAAGCTTGACGTCGGCTGGAACGAATCATTGGAATAAGAGTTAGTCAACATATAAAACTTACTAAACATCAATTACATGTATCAAAATTATATAAAATTTTGCAGTGTACATAATATCATTTAGTATGAGTATCTTTTATTCATTATACAATCATAGCAATATAAAAGAAAGTAAGATGTCCCGTTTTCGAAATCTTACGCCCGTTCTTTACCATCTTGGCCAAATGTACTTCAAGTGATATTTTTTTTATCAAATGCACTTTTCTGACATCAACCCCAACACCAAGTTAAAGCGACAGCTATCTTGCTCTTCGAACCCCATTTGGATGAAAATATATATCATGTACATTAAACGTCTTACCTGTCTTTATTTCATAAATAGATTTTGTATTTACCTAAGGATGATCTTGCGTCGTGTATCTCTACATTCACGTAAGATACCAGAATAGTCAGAACAGCAATCAGGAAAATACAAAACAACGTCCACAATGAAATAATTTTCATCTTGGCGGGTTTCTCAAGCCCAGCATAGTTGAAGGTAGTCTCTGGCATCAAATTGCTGACTCTAGAATAAATATATACATGTACTGATTATTTACTGTAAAACATCACACAATGTTAAAATGTATAACGTTTCTTATCCAGGATACAGGTGACCTATTTTATACTATAAGACAAGGAGGTGAACTGAATATTTGGCGAAACGAAGCCAACCACGATATTCCTTCCTCTCCTGCTTAATTCATTCATTCAAAGCAGGTATTCCAGAAATATTTTCTCTGGATAATTGGTGGTCCGCATTGTCTCCCGTGCGTAATCTCGCAGTATTTAGTATTTTTTAAAACTAAAACATAGTTGAGGACTATATATTCACGTAATTATGATGTTCGGTTGTTCCTTAGCCTACCTTTGTATTGTTACCAACCCAAATCTGCAAATATCCTTCTTAATTGGAAGAATTTTTACTGTGCCGTGTTAACAAAAACAGCAGTTAAATTTCTAAGCAGATTATTTCGCCTACAAAACTAAGACCGCTACCAAATGTTGACAATTTGCACGAACATTTCATCATTCAACTCATGAAAAATGTATAGTTGACGCTTGCTGTAAGTATTACTGTACAGGAAGCAGAACAAGACATTGTGGAATGGTCGTCATCTTAATAAAAAATCACTTACCTTGCTCCAAGATTACACAGTACTACCCAAATATAACGGACACTGTATAAAAATACTTTTCCAAAATTTAAAACCACAATCCTTCTACCTTTTCTGAAGGCAAACATTTAAACAGAAAACTATAAATGTGTGACCATCATACAGAGTGAAGCTGCGACTGAGTAAATTACCATAAACTTGGCCGTACGCGGGCATTTTCAATTATGATTCCGAGAAACAATTATTTCGTGGATATATTAAGCTCGGTTTCGTAACTTTTGTATCTATATTCTACTTTGTTTGTATGGTCTAAGACACTGAAATGATTTTCAATTTTTTTCTCCTTTTCATAAATCTAAATCTTATAAATACGCAAATACTTTATGATTTACCGCTGTGACGAGAGCTTTCCAGCTGTCACACGATGATGCTTGCTGTGAATAATAGATGTGTAATTTAGACAACTACGAACAGAGGAAACTAACACAAATATATAGATAAGCATTGCAAAGAACTCAATATGAAACAGAAATTTGTTCATAAATCTTTTAAGAATTGCATGCGTATTTTTAAAATTTATTAGCCAATCAAATGTCGGGATATATTGATGAGCCGTGGTATTAATTACCTGAATACAAAATAACCTTGGCAGGAGGGGAAGAAATTCTACACACATGTTAGAACAATGGAACTGATAAAAGATTTGAAATGAAGTAGTATGTCAGTCATTTTTTCCTAAAAAAAGGAGATGACGGAAATTGAAAATTAGGCAGTTCAGTTGTACATGAAAATGAACAAACAATTAAATGAATAAATGAAAGTCATCATGTAGATCAAAATCATCACTGAATGAATGAATGACTGTGAAAGAAATATGGAAACTTTAAGCACTTGGTAGGCCTAAGCATCTAGGTATACTAGATACACTAACGTCAGTGAAAAGTGGCAATATAAGTTTTGTTCTTTTGATCGTACATGTACACTAGGTATATTTACAGTTGTATTTTTTTTACTCGTTGTTTACGTTAAAATAAATATCCTGTCTATCTACCCCAGTTCCTTGAATAAAATAGACCTATTAACAACGCTTACCAAATTAAATATGGTATTTCAATAAATAGGCTTAAAATCCCTTTTGTTTAAGACTATCCACTTTCAACTAGAAGATGTTATTAGTTATAAATTATTTTTCAACTTCAAAACACCTACATTTAAAGATAAGGCAAATTATTAGTTGCGATCACGCTTCTCATACAAACAATGAAAACTTAATTAACCTCTGACATTCCCTGCTCCTTTCTGGCTGCATCGGTATTCATTACACAAACAAATCTGTAAAGTTCAATAAAGTAATCAATAACCTCCCGCTGCCGGGACTGATCAACAGGCTTTCCAGCACCTTACCAGTACTCATGGGTATAACAGAGTGAGTTAGTAAGCGTGACAAAAACGGACAAAATACATAATTGGACATTTTGCTCGCTTTTTTTCAAATATTCTTGAACATGAGTGGGAATAGTGTTTTCAGCAGAAAGGTAAAAAGCTAGTATTGGGTATGCTGGCAATATATTCCACCTTGTTATGTTTATGGTTATTATAAGAAAAGAGCAGATTGTTATTGATTTGTGAAATTGAACATAACCTACTACTAAGGTGCCTCTGTTGGACTGTAACCGGTTATCAACGTGGGATTTATGGCGCACAAAACGTTTATGTATAAATTTTATATTCAAATCTTAAAAATAAATATGCCATCTCACTCAAGAGGTATCGGTTTCACGGGTCTACCCGACGCTAACTGAGTGAAAGAGGGAATTAACAAGAGTCACGTGATGTGGTCCGGCTACCCTAAGATGGCGACCAAGGAGGTGCAGGTGGAGGTGGACGGTAAGTGATTAATATTTTGTTCGGCTAAAACTCTAATGGTGTGGGCAAAACTGTACCCGCAGATGTGAAAATAAGTTATTTCAAGAATCTTGGATGAACAGAGGTTGTAATCTCAGCAAGAATATATGTTTCTTTGCTCTTCACGTAATAAGGTTTATTGAATTAATCAACAGGCATTGATAGATAGATACTGGTTTATGATAGATACACTTCATAACCACTTCTTTAAATGGTGTGCTTTTTTAAAAGTTTAATCTCCCTTGTCCATCCAAATGTACTTTTAATAACTAATATTCACAAACACCGAAAATAGTTCAAGACAATATTCAACCGGCGCTTTAACAAATAGCCCTACAGGACTTCAATTCTGCGCGCATATTTAGACACCTGTGTTATCTTTAAACATAAAAGTAAACATCAAAGTATAAAATTAAATACACCGCAATAATATACGGCCAGCAAGGCACGGGAAGGTGTCAGACTGTAACATCGAGCCTCACAATTTTGAAATTTCACCATCACTTGTTTATTCTAACATTACGATACTAATCCCCCATGTTTATTTTAATTCGACCTACCATTGAGAATTTTTCGCCCATGATTAACAGTTGCTGCACGGTTTGGTCTCGAAAAGATACAGCAGCGAACAGAATAAGCCTATATTTCAAGGGTGTAGGATACATTCTTTTCAACATGAGCAAGGACCAGACTAGTTTTAACGCCTGCCTCAGCACCGGGATATTTGACAGGGAAAAAGTATATGAGCGGTTACACAGGGTGTACCTGCGATATTTATCTTCGAAGTTATAGCTAGTTTAGAATTATTAAAGTTGATAAAACCCGTACAATAATGCCCCTGGCCCCGGGAGGTTGCCCTGATCATGTTAATTGCAATTAAACTAAATCCATTTAAGGAGTGTGAAAGACTGAGAAAATGAGCCATTGGACGGTGGGAGTTCTCCAAGGACAAACGACAACCTTTCGTTTTGTGTACATTCACCCAGAGAAACATTTACTCCACTCCCCGTTATTGTTGTACTTTTCTTCTTTATTTGCGCCAAGTGTTTTAATCGTTCTATTTGATTCGAACTAAACCCATTTCACAGTTTCAATGCCCCCGAGTTATTGCCCTTTTGTGCTTCGGTAATTCGTCAATACGGTTCTGATACAAAACCTTTCACCGCGCTTTGAGTAGTTGCGGCCCCGTACCACATAACTATTTCAATACAATTATGTGCATTTGTCGTGTGTTATTTCAGTAGATGTTGTAAAAGTTTGTTGGCCTTTCAATATCAAATCCACTCCAGTGTAGGATCCCTGTTTTGACTAAAATCCTGATACACTGACGCTACAAAGCAACAATACCCAACGTAAAGAGGTAGATTTAATCGGCTTTTTACATTCAAAACGCCGCAGTTTCTGACGCCAATAGAAGGCGATTACTTGGTCTATTATATATAACAATAGAAAATATCTTATACCTGATTTATTTCTACCCTTTCACAAGAACGTAAGTGCGGCACCTTTAAATCCTATACAAAAGGCTTTTTAAACAATGATACGCCCTTATATTGTTTTGTCTTCCTCAGTACTACCAAAAAACTTATCGGAATAATTTCAGTGGTGTAAGACGTTCGTTATTCGTTCGTACTTTTGAATTGAACTAAATGCTCCCGTTGTAAGACATTGTGTTATGTTGTAGACCTATACTAATTGATAATGGTAATTTTACAATTTTGTAAAAGCTTTACGTTACATGCATGTGTGCGTACGCGTGTGTGTGTTTGTGTTAAGGCCACCATTATGTTTGAGTAAGGAAATTTGGTCTTATACTTACGTGAATATATACGGCGTTTGTCTTTTCTCTCGTATCATATCATTCACTTTGGATGTTTCAGATATACGGGCGATTTTCCGAACGCTAGCTCCTTACATAGTCCGCTATTGGAAGGATGTATCTCGTGAGCTTGGACTGACGGATGAAGATATTCTCGATATCGAACACGTTCACCCAATGGCGCGTCTCTCTGAACTGTCCTACCAGTGTCTTTGTATGTGGCACGAGAAGCAAGGGAGAAACGCCACCAAAGACAAACTCTCACACGCTCTGAGAAATTTGGAATTAAAGCGTGCCGAAGGTGAGTTAATTATTCGATTTTTCCTTTGCGAGACACTAAGCTTGCCAGCAGATAATTATTTGCCTTTTTCGGAATCTGAATGTTATTCTATTTGATATGTGAGATTCTGTGTACAATCCTGCAATGTAATGCGTGGGCTTCTGCAGCTGACGTATATAATGTGAAGGTTCCTGCATTTTGTATGAGATGCTCCGTAAGCTGTTTTTGTCAGACCAATATTTATAGAGATTCAAACAACCTTTAATAGCATGTTCCGCCGAAAGCATCGACATGCTATCACAGAACTTGCCTGGAAAAGGGTTGAAAATAAACTCCTTTTCCTAAAAGGAAAATGTTACTGTGTATTAATCCTGTCACAACTTACTTACCATACATGGACACTGCACATCTCAATCAGGGGTGGAACCAGAATTATTTGAAGGGGGGAGGGGGGCCCCGCGGATTCGAAGCCGACCCGACGTGGGGATGGGGCCCGAAAAATTTTGGTATTTTTGGGGGCGAACGGTGCTATTTTTTACGGTTTAGAACTATGATTCAGCTAGTCAATTTTCTAATTTGGAAAGGGGAGCATTGGTGTGATATTTTTTTCAGAAATCAAATGGAGGGGGGGGGGGGGGGGTGTCAGGACCCCCCTAACACCCCTCCTAAATCCGCCACTGTCAGTGCACTTGATTACTCTAAAATTATTAAAACTCTTGTTATGTGTTATTGCTACGTGATTTTTTTCTTGATTAAAACCTTGTGTTAGCGTTCTTGGTTTATCATCATTTTCAAAACATCTTTCCAGACGCCATTAGTCACCTCGTGGTACGCCGAGGACGTGTGTCTAGCCCATCGAGACGGAATTCCGTCGCAGGGCCCAGCACTGGAGCGTCTCGAGGCAGACGCCGCAGTACAGGTCAACCGCCCCCGCCCTCTGTGCCGAGAAAGAAAACAGGAGTCAGAAAGAGAAATAATTCAGGTAAGAAAAATTAATGAGATGTCAGGTTGTCAACTGAATTGGAAGCGATATAGAATTAAAAATAAATATATAATTATATTGAAATAAATATGTTATTAAAGCCTTTTCCAATGACACTGTCGACCCTCAGGGACAAATTAAGGTATAGGGTCTACGACCTGTATTGTTTACAGCATAAACGACAAAGCCAGAAAGGTGGGATGAGTTTAAAAAACATTATATTAAAATAACAGAGATGTACTAAGAAACTGTGCCACTTTTCTGCTTTAACTGTTTCAGAAACTTTGCACAAACCAAAACAAGGAGGCCTGCGAAGAACCTCCAGTGAAAAGACAATTCAGTCAAGTCAGGGAGAGGCTGACTCTGCAAACACTGCCCCAAGAAAAGATAATAGAGAAATAGGTGGGTGTCAGTTCATCAACTCATAATGCAGGTAGATCATTTATAATAAAGTGAATATGCACATTCGATGGAACCTAGTCATACTACTACTACTACTTCTAAAATAATAATAATAATAATAATAATTTTGACTATTAGAATTTTCCAAGCTTTTGCCCTCATTCAATAACAATAGCTTACCTTCTTGTCTCAGGCGAGGTTCATGCAACCATAGAAGTATCCAATATTGAGATGCGGCCACAAAGTGTGGAATCCATGGAAACCGACCAGGATGGAACAGACGACAGAAATCAAACATCGGAAACAGAGCAAGACACCTTCCAAAAAATGATGCTTCATTACTACACAAATGTTGTCAAAAATGCGCAAGATCACATCAATGCCCTGACTACTTTATTGGAATTTAAAGACATTTACGTCAAACGGCTACGTTTAGGCAGCATTGTTGTCATTCTCGTCTGCAAGAGCTTGCGCGCCCTTTTGCATCTCCTTGACATGTACAATAAAGGAGAACTACGAGAAGCGTGCCAAAAAGTGTTTTGTACTGAAAAGATTTTGAGGGAAATGGGAATAAGTGATCTGTCTGTCAAAGTAACGATACCACAAAGAGAAATCGTACGTTGTAAAGAGGAGCTATTGTCCGGAAGACTGGGTCCCTCGGAATCGTCGCCAAACGGCTCTCCGGTCCCGAGACGGGCATTCAGCGCACCAAATTCAGTCAGCAAGCTATTGATACCGCAGGGTAAGTATTTATTTTGGGATATGATGCCTCTTAATATTGTTATCAAGTCGGATGAGAACTGATTATGTCAGTATACGAGTAATGTTAGAACGTTACATGTAGCCTTTAAAATGTATAAATGGTCTGTGAATATAAAGTGAAAAGTGAATCAAGAGGGTAGGGCGCCTCCGTTCAGGACGAAGTCGCCAGGGTTGATGATGGTGACATGTTTTCACTCAGCCATATTAACGCTAGACATCCAGTTCAAAAATATTATAGAATTGTAAAAAGGGATGTTGAAATTGATTAGAGAGAGTTTTTACTGCAAAAACTGATATCATATATTTATATTGCAGAGCTTAACCACCGTAGCCGAGGAGCGTATCTGGCGTCTTTGAAAGCATTTCAGAAACAGACAAAAGAGGACGTACGAACACTATCGCAGCGATACAGGACATTTGAAAAATGCATCAAAGAATTCATGCTAACACTTCAACTTATAAGATCTGGGGACTTGGGTCCCGTTAAAAACATCTCACAATTGGAGAAGTGCAATGATTTTCTGAAAACTAGTCAAAGCATCGGGAAACAAGTGCGCACAGATCTAGTCCAAGAGTTTCTTACCATGTTGAGTGTAATACGTGTAACAGTACGTGATCTAGACGAAAAAATTGCAGAAATGGAGATGGTGTTTGGTCAACCGTGGAACGTCGCGTCTATAAGATCCCTGAAGCTCATGATAAGCGGAATCGAGGAACAACTAAGCCCTGAATATAACTTTTCCCGCTTATCAGTTTTGTTAGCCTATAAACTATCAATTCTTGAGAAGAGACTTTTTGCGGGGTTGGTTAGTTACGTTCCTACTCTGCTGAACAGGTTGACAGAAGTCGACTCCTATTTTGTGGACCTTCTCAAACAACTGTCACAAAAAAGCGGGCAATCTGCGGCGGGAAATACACCTACGTCAGAAGAAGACATGGAAATTTGACCGGCATTTTTGTGTAGAATTAGGCAGGGATACCTCGGAGTTTGACATAAGACTTCCGCATCTCCTCTTGTGTTAATCTCTAGGGAGGAGTGAGGGTGGGGGTGGGGGTGGGGGGGGGGGGGGAAGGGGTATAGGCGTTTTCAATGTGCGATGAATGAAAAGGGAGCCGTTGTTGAAAAAGCTGGAATTTGTGGAGCAGTGAAACAATAATTCAACTCCATCTCTCCACTGTCTGCGGCGGCGTCTCCTTCCACGGAGACAAAAGGATGTCGAAAAGAGATCAATAGCCGTGACTCCGTCATGCTTTTAGTTATAAAATAATCGCACTGCCCTTGTTAAAATAAATAAATAAATAGCAGTAAATCTTTTTATTAAACGACTACATGAAATTCCAATGTAGTCCTTTTCATAAATCCCCTTGCAAAACGTTGTCAAAATTGTTTGTCAAATTTATTTTATTGTACCGCATATGATATGGCAACCTCTTTTTATATATGAAATACATCATAATATTTTGAATGATAAAATGATAGATTATAAATGTTTTTTTAATGCCAATAAACCTAGACATTATTTCATTTTTAAACCCTTGTACGTGCACACTTATCAATAAGCAGGGTATGTGAGTCAGATCTAATATTCGGGCTGATAAAATAATCAATTACCCTAACAGACACCTTTTCAAAGGATGTCATATTGCAAACGACAATTTAAATAACACCATTTCAAACTAAACTTAAAAGACTCATTTTGTGGCAGCCTCCTTCGTTCCCATATAACTTTTTAATGTTTGTCTCAAGACAATTATAGTTTGGGTATTAATGAAAACGATAGTTGATTTAAAATAACACAATCTTTTTACTCATATCATATATCTTTATTTCTTTTCAATCCAACATCATTATTACAGTTGTAACACACACACACACCTTTCATCAAATTTTAACAAGTTGAGCGAGAAAAATCTACAAAATGTTAAGTCTTGGAAATCTTGTTACTTGACAGGAAAATGGCTAACAACTAAATAAACTAGAAACTCTAAATGACAAAGAAATAGCACTTTTTAGAAGTGGTTATTGCACTTGAAAAGAAAAATTTTAACATTTTCCACTGGAATGGGCAAGTGCACCATAGGCGTTAAGTTAACACGTTTGAGACGCATGTGAAGAAGTAATAATCATTGTGCATACGATACATTTTCTCTATACCAAGTCAGATTTTTCTCAATAGTCCTATTCCTTGGCATTTCCCTCCAGTAAAGATGTATCGCCTGCCTTTAGTAGAGCGTACAAATAAATAATCTTACTCCCAACCTGTGGCGAGTTAGGATAATCCGTTTACACGTCAAATGCACTTTTACTCACTTAATGCTACTATATCAAACCCACGATATCCCCGTGTTGTTACCAGTCACATCGTCATATGGACCAATAAATCCAAACGTCACAAGTAAATAATAGTGCTGAGATACTGTAATAGAAATAACAGTCACGTTTTCACAAAAGAATTGTATTCATTTTACACGTGCAGCTCTAGTATCAACTGCCTGACCATGTTCACTCGGATAAAGAACAGCAGCTTCCATGCAGGATCAGTAAAGATCAGTAAGAGATTAACAACATTTATACAGGTACTGCTACCACTTATTAAAAATAGAGCAAATATTCACTTTTATTACATTGTGTAACACATTGTTTATCACAATTTTTACAGTTTGTTAAATAAATAATAGTTCAGACACACTCCTCAATGCAATGTCCTGGTACAAGAGAGTCAGATAAAATAACTGCAGGATTCAAAGCACAACCTGACAACAGAGGGCAGCACTAGACTGTCTGACAGCACCAAGGTCTTCTGCATTATGAACTAAGTTTGATGGGTCCTAGGTATCACAAAGTCATTCAGGTTTTTGAGTTAAACCTAAACTACTCTACTTAGATATCCTAATATGTGAAGTCGACCTATTAGCGAAAGCAGTCTAACAACAGAACAGTCTAACAACTTACTGACCCATTAATACAATACAACTCGTCTTTTTGCATCAAAAAATAACCAACTGGCAAATTCACAAAGTTATGTTACATATTAGCATGACAGTAAGGCAACTATCATTGTTGTAGAACTGTCAAAGTATTTCTATCTTCTAAAAAATTTTGCCGTTTACTCTGGACATTGGATTCTATATTAGAGTAGTAAAACTGGTGCATTAAAATGAATCTCATCAGAAACCAATACCCTATACACATGAAGCTAAGACTTAGATGGTGTTAATGAAAAGGTCACGTCTGTAGCTGTCTTCTGTATATAACAACTAGTCCTAGGAGTCCTGCTAACAGCGCTATCAGGTAGAGGTCCCAGTCAGGACCCAACAGCCAACGTGGATCCAAGTCCTCGACATATTTCCACAGATTGGAATTCTTTAATGACAGGAGTGAATCCTAAAATGAAAATGCCCAAAAGAGTGTGAAAATTTTGCTTTTATAATTTTAAGTTAATTCTACTTCTAAACCAACTGACATATGAATTAGTTTTTTTTTAAAAATAAATTGTGTTATATTAAAAAAGTTGGAAAACATATAACTTGGTATTACTTCAGTTAGACTACTGTTTCACATGTTCTTGTGTACATAATATCTGTAAACGATTATAACCACCTTTTATTGTGGAATATATGTAGGTACAGATGCACAGATATATACAATCACAATCGCAATGTAATACATAATCAAAATCAAATTTACATTACAAACAACTCCTGAGCCAAATAGCTTTCACATCTAAATAAAGATTTAAATCATAGCTCTGGGGCCTTGTTTTTGCAGTATTATTATCACTATTATTATTATAATTGTTTTTGGAGGAAGGACTCATACAATTTGAATAAATTTCAGTCAAATTTTACACAGATTCAAAATGTAATTCAACACATTTCACATCTTTTTGCAAAATTCATGGTTAAAGGGATAATAACTCTTCGTATGAGATCTATATTTCACAATAAAAACATTGTGAACAACTCATAGAAATATAATATATACTGCTGTACCACAAAAACGGTAGTTATAGCTATTATTCTGATATCTGAGCTTGTCTGTAGACCACGTGACCTCCATTGATGGCTATACTCTGTTATAATCTCTTAAGAGATTATAACAAAAAACCAAACTTTTTAGAAAAAAAAACAGGGACTAACTTTGAATGTGAAAATGGATTCATTAACCATTGGTAAGTATGGGAAAATTGTTGTTTACTCCAGGAAAATTCATTTCTTGCCCAAAATGAAGAGTTATTATCCCTTTAAGCTCAAAATCCAAATTTGTTCTCAGTTTTCCAGCTACCTTTATCCTAGAATGAACCCAGCATATAAGTACTTGTAGCAGTATAGTACTTGTAAACACAACTTACCCTTTTGAGGTAGTGCTCCATCCCATACATGACCCCTAGTTTGGCCAGTGCCAGGGTGACAGGTACCTGGGCATCTGTACTGGTCTCAGCTGCCATGTCATAGAACCTCTTGGCTAAGTGGATGTCCTACAAAGACAAACATATATCATCTATCAGAGGGAAGTACTCATTCCATAAGATGTAAAATACCTTAATATTTGCAAACTGTCAAAATAAAGTCCCCATTGTGAAAATTCACAAAATTCAAAAGCCTGGCAGAAATCTCATAAGAATTCATGGGCTAGTCTCTCAGATACAATATTGGAAATGGTATAGTCATGATGGTTATAAAGTAGTTTCCAACAGGCCAAACCTCAGGATGGAACTACATTCGGAGACATGCACAATGACATAAGTTAACCTGGCTTCATATTAACACCCACAAAATCTCCCAAATATAAACTTTGCCTTATGGGAATGGCAAACGTTTCAATTCTATTTTATTTACCATATTATTTTTAACTCAGTTGACTGAAACTATACTAAAGCAAACCTAAATGTTTATGCACCTGTTTCATTCCTAGCCCTCTCTCATGCATATAGCCCAGGTTGAACATGGCCTGTGCATTGTGCTGCTGCTCTGAGGCCATCCTGTAGTGAAGTGCTGCTGTCTCATAATCTATATCAGTGCCATAACCATAGTAGTGGTAGTCTCCTATCTTTAACCTGGCCACACTGTAACCTACAATATCAACAATACCTCTGCAAAAACGGCAGTGTTTTAAAATGGAGAAGACATTACCATAGCGACAAACATATATATCAAATATGCAAACAAAGGAAAAATATTATTACTGGCTCAAAAGATCCATCTACTGTCTTCCTACCTTGAGATGCAGCTCTATTCCAGTGCAGCAGGGCTCTCTGATATGTCTCATTCTGCTCAAACATGTGACTTTCACCTGCAACATATCAAAATAAAATCAAGATTAAAGAACTACGTCCTTAATGTATTTTGGGGAATAATTGTTTATTGTTGAATAAAAGTCTAACAACAAAACAATCATTCATCTTTCAAAAATCCCTTCGTGAATAACTTGGGAGTTTTAAAAATTTGGTAATCATGATCAAGGGGTACAGATTCATTAGGGTTTAACAGGAGTCTTTACCTCTGTCCAATATATAGGCCACATTGCTCTGGGCCACCTCATACCCCAGCTCAGCCAGCAGGGCATACTTCAACAAAGTGGTGTCAATGTTTCCCTCTTTGTACGACGTGTGTGCTTCCATCAACATGCGAGCCCAGCGCCCTCTTTCAGCAACATTTTTGAACAGCTGCAAAAAATGAGCAGAAATATTTAGAGCATATCTCAGAAAAACTACAGTACAAAGATGACAATGTTTATCACTTATTTTTTCTCTTAGTGTCATGTACTGCTGCATTATAATACAAAAATGTATAAAATAAGTAATAAATATTGTTACAATTTCTGCACCATTATTCTGTGATTGACTGACATATAAGCTGCATTTTCAAGCCAGATTGTATTGAAAGTAAATAAAGCTATCAATGAATTTCCCACTGGAAACCACTACGCAACTCCAAAAGCAAGTCTTCGATAAGAAAAAGATATACAATTACTAAGATTAAGCACAAAACTATAGGGGGAAAAGCACTTTGCCATTCCTGATTCTTAACAATTGCCCAAGTACTCACCTCTACTGCAGTGTGACATGCTCTGTAGACACCAGTGCCAGTGGCATGCATCTGAGCAAGGTTATAGAAGGCAAGAACATGGCCAGACTGGGAGGCCAGGTTGAAATACTTCAGAGCTGCCTTGTAGTCCCGACGAACACCTAGTCCACCTATACAATAACAAAGTTTTTTTATAGCTACATAATTTTTTCACCTAATAATCATGAAAATAAATAGTTAATTAATAACAGTAAAGTAAGTGTGTGTGTGTGATTGTTTATGTGCCTGACTCTTAGGATTACAACAATGCTGTAGACAATACATTAATGATAAGTAGCAGAAAATGCATGAAAAACATACGATAATAAGACTACCAAACTGGTAACATCAAACTGTACATTAATGATTTGTGATAAAAGAGTGAACCATTTTAGTGTATGTATACACCCAAATTGATTTAAACACTGTACTCTAATACTTACTATAGTACATTGTACCCAGCTGCAACTGACCATCAACCCAGCCTTGGTCTGCTGCCATAGTGAAATACTTTAAAGCTTTACTGTAATCCTAAAAAAGAAACAACAGAGAAATGTTACAAATGTGAAAGAAAAATGTTCATACTCATTCAACTTTATGGTCGTCATAGCATAAAGATATCAAAACTTGAACATAATGATTAACAACATTTTACATATAAAAAAACGAAGAAAATAATTTGACAATAACTCAATTATTCATAATAAGAGAGCATTTGTTTGACTTAATCAAGCCTCAGGGATATTTCTCCAACAGTAGTTTTTTTATGGCCCTCTTACCTTATCTACACCTTTCCCATACAGGTACATATTGCCTAACCCACTCTGGCCCACTGGATTACCCTGAAAATCAAGTGTTAAGACTTATCTCAAGTATATCATCCAAGATAAAAGGTACATCTTGCTCTAAATACCTTCAATAAATAGTGAAATATTAATAAAACTAAGTGGAATAACATTCATAATGCATGTGATGAATTAACTCTGTATTAAAAGAATTTATGACAGAAAAAGAAACTGAATAAAATCACACTGGTCTACCATCAACTTAATATAATTTCTGAGATCCTTACCTTCTCTGCTGCTTTTCTGAAGTAATTAAATGACGTCTCGTTGTCTTGTTTGACCACTGGGCTACCTTCTGAGTACATCTTGCCCAGGAATGCCATAGCATTAGCATTCCCTGCCTCTGCTGCTTGCAGGAAGTAGTTCAGTGCCCTCTGTATGAGTAAAAATAAATTTTAACAGAGAGTGAATGCATGACTTAGTAAATGGGCAATTTTCTAAAAGCCTTATTAACCCTGTCATCAAAATATACCTTATCCACAGACACTAGAAGAAAAGCACTTTCTTTCTTTAAATGTTTAAATTCCACAGTACATCTTATTGCCACAAAAATGATTTTCACCTATATTTTTCAAAATTAGCATGACACACATACACACAAACAAATTGCCTACATTGTCTTTACCTCATGATTGACTTCTACACCTCTCCCACCTTGGTAGTGAAGCTGGCCTAGACCAACCTGAATGTACAGGGCATATATATGCATATACATAAATAATGACAGGTAAATATGCTAATATTATGTATGACACATATCACATATCTACAACAGGGGCAGATTAAGATGATTTTTGAGTTTTCAGGAAGATGGTCAGAATTCTCTAGAGAGAAATTTTTATACAGAGAAATGTGTGATTTGATATAAGAACTGACTTAAGAATACTTCTGCAGCAGTGGTAGTGGATCCAACAGTCTGGATGATTTTATCTGCTCATGCTACCACATGTAGATTTATACATAAAGATAAAATTCTAACTACAAAAACAATTATTAAGTATGTATTTCACATAGATGGATTACAAGAAAACAATGGCCTCAATTTTACATACAGTATTTTCAACACACTTAACTTTTTTTCAATGTAATTATCTAAAACTTGACTTTAAATATCAAGGAAGTGTTTTAAGTTTAAAATTATATATTTTTAATTTCTACATGTTTTCTACCTCACCTGTGCCTGTACATCTCCCTTGTCAGCCAGGAACTGATAGTATTGTATCAGATCATCATCCATAAGTCCACTACTTTGTCCTAGACTCTCTGCCTCATCTAGAAGACGAATTCTCTGAACCACATTACCACCAGAGAGAGACACTTGCTCAGCAACTAAAATCACGGACAACACAATTATTAAAAAACTTTATTTTTTAACTTCAGGGCACTTAAACTTATCAGTTCAAAAGACAAAATGTATAATCTTTCAGCCAATATACTGAAAAGTCAAATGCTAGGAGTCACACTTGGTAATTCAGCTATGTCTTTCATCTTGCTCCTTTTGAAAAGTGTACAAAAGTTAAATGCCATTGCACTTGGACACCTTTACACAAACAGAGAAATTTTCTAAAAATTCCACAAACAACCACTTTCACCAGATAGTAGAATTTATCTTACAACCTAAAAAAGTAACATCGTTTTTGCTCATATTTTAATTCTGTTTATCACCTACCTCTGCTGGCCACCTTCCTGTAATATGTCAGAGACTTTTCACAGCTGCTTTCTACTCCTACACCTGCCCAGTAACGATAACCCTGCAGTATCACAAGATACATCACATTAAAAGATTTCAATTATAATAATAATAAAAGTAAATACAAATATATATGTATATATATTTGGTTATGTCAGCTAGATATGGTCAAATATGTGCATCACGGGAAGCTTCATTCAGAATGCAAAGATATGTCTATGTGGAAACAATATCATTCGGATACAGCTTCAAATCTGACATGTTTAATATGGTTATTTAATTACAGGGACCTTATTTTATTGTTTTTAAGAAATATTTTTAACTTCTAGAGTAATAAAATAAAGTAGTAAAAAGAGAAATAATTCATGCATTACAGACAACGTGCATACTTACCAAAGCCATCTGAGCCAGAGGATCACCTCCAAGTGCAGCAAATGTAAAGTACACAAGGGCCTGGAACAAAGATGTTACAGTGGAAAAAGAATAAAAACGATAAGAAAGAACATTTGGGTAATTAAAATGAAAACATTTGGAAGAGAGACTAAATGGTTGAGTGCATTCAATATTTTTTCATTTTGAGTGTTCTCTTTCTTGAAATTGCTGACAAAAAAGGGTTCTCACAATGTTACACTGATTAAAGAGTATTGCATGGCTACTAAGACTAAAATATCAAACCATACATACATGTACCTCCAGCTCACACCCCTTCTTACACAATACATGTACCTCTTTAAGTGCCAATGAAATGCAAATTTCAAGACCGATTTTAATTCAATTCCAATAAGCTTAACACCCAATTCAAAAATCAATGCTTGCTTTTTGTCATACTCCTCAACATTTTTAACCCAGATACAACCTCCATTAAAATCATAAACGTGAAATCTACCCTGTCAGATGAATAAAACTGTTCAAGTGCACCATCTTATTAAGAGTGATGTTATTCTTTATTATATCTCACCTTAGCCTGACTAGAATTCACTGAAATCCCTGTGGTATGAAGAAATCCTAAACCCTGGAATAAAGTGAAAAAAGATTTACCCACATCAAACAGAACAATCGTTATAAAACACTCATTTTGTTTTTGTTTCTGCTGCATTTACAAACTTGCAAAATATGGAAATACTTATGAAAGAACTGGAACCGAAACTTATATCTGCTATTCATGTGAAGTGTTATGTAGGTAGAATAATCAAACAGTATTTTTTCTTTGAAATAAAACTCAGTTTTTATGCCCAAAGCCTATGATATTTTCTCAAAAATTTGGCATTTTAACATTGTTGAAGTGGGACCAAAATAGGGACTATTTTACATCATTTCCTCCTGCATAACTTTTCTTTCCAGGTGTGTTTTTGTTCAGTCTGTTATATTTTGGAAAACTCACCCAAAGTTTTTTTTTAAAGGACAGAGGTGGCAAACCATTTACATGTAGGTAACAACAAGTTACAGAAGAGAATTCTAAACAAACAGTTATACATGCACCATACTGTACAACTGATTTGCCACAAATTCATTACCATTTGTCCTCTGGGGGAGCCATTCATAGCTAGTTCTTCAATTATTTCTCTGGCTTTTGTGATGTTGTGCGGCACAAAGTCCCCAAACAGGTAGGCAAAGCTGAGAATCTCTTTTGATTTTGTGTGGTTCAATTCACTTGCATGGATTAGGTATTGGTATGCTCTGAAATAAAGGATAAGATTTTTTTTTAATCCCAGAATAATAACTCTATAGAGTTAATAAATGTATCCAAATGTAATCATTTGATAAATTCAGTACTTCATTGTATCATATATTAAACATGCAATAACCAGGGGGCTTTATACATACACTGCTTTGATTGGAAACTTAATGCCTTATTCAGTGGCGTCTGAGATGTTCTGTCAAGTTTGAACATTGTATCATGAGGTATACCCTAGGCTGGTGAAGTCTAGCAAAATTCACTTAAAAGAGACATTAGTTCTAGTTCTTAATTTATAATAAAATGTTATAACCTTACAGCATTTCTCTGAATTTCTATAACAAATGAAATCTCCAACAGCTGTTAGAGTTGTATATCTTAAATATAACCAAACCATTTCTCACCCGACAGAAAGATTTAAAATTGGAGCTATAGAGAAAATAAATGATACATTTCCCTTACTCTTTGTATTTCTTCAACAAGTTCTGGTGCAGGATATTTTCTGCCTTAGTGTAATATTCTTTGGCTAAAAATAAAAATAAAAAGACATGACTGGTTTGTAAATTCAAAGCCATCTTGACAGCATTTAAATGAAATTATTAGAAAGTAAATAATTCAACAGTTTTATCTTTTTTTTTTTTTTTTTTTTTTGCAATGGTAAACACCTTGCAATTTTCACCAAAGGCAGATATATTGCTTCCACTTTCCATTATTACATATTTTCTGTTTTCCAAATGTAAAGAGATATAAGTAGCCAATCTGGATAAACCAAGTTCTACCTACTGATCACAATTTTAGTTGTTGCCCAGGTAAAAATGTTTGAATTCATTTTGATAGATCAATAGTAAAATTGGTCGAATATGTGGAAATACATAAGACTTTGCAACCAAGATTTTTTATCATATTTTAAATGATCAGTAACTAACACATGCCCATTATCTTCTCTCGGTAATATTCTAGTAGTATATAAGGAATGCCATTTTACCCAGTTTTTCCTCTTCTGTAAGCTCTTCAGAATTCTCCTCTTCCTGGTCACCTTGATAAGATGGCTGACCAAGTCCCTTTACCTTTTCAAGAAAGAGACAGAGAATTTAATATATATATATATCAACCTTCTTCTTAGAATGCATTGCTCTTTCATTTGATGAAAGTTATAAAAAATTTCTAATTTCTTGTTATCTTCCTTTTCAAGGAAATTTTCAACTAATAATATTATTCATGGAAGCACAGCAATAAGAAGTGTGCAAATACTTTCATTTTGCAAAGTTTTTTTTTTAAAGAAGCACTCAATCATCACAGTGTTAGTTAGCAACTTCTTAATTTGTTTATTTAGATCCACTAAACTTGGTTAAAAAATTCATATTTTTAATAAATGGAAATACTCATAGCTGTATATCTTCATATTCAAACTATTATACAAAAAAACACGCTGGAATAACTAGTAGCTATACCTGCTGATCTAAAGGTATTTGTTCCTCTTCTTCATCCTCTTCTTCCTCATCAGCAGCAGGGGGAGACCACAGTTCAGGATGGAATTCATACACCAAGTCCATACTTAGCAGCACAGTACCATCTTCTTTCACAGTCTGTATATATTTTTCTGTCCTCACCAAGCCTGCTTTGTCTGGCTTGTACGTAATAACGGTCTCTTTTACATTTTGTGACACTCTTTCTCGTGTCACTTTTTGTATTTTGCCATTTTTTAGATCTTCTTTGTTGACTACCTCTGGGAACTGACTGTTCCAGTCTGGTGTGACAGTTGTGCTATCTCCTTGTCCCTGGCTGTTGGATGTAGAAGACTTCACAGTTGCTAACAAAAAAAAAAAAAAAAGACATTTCTAAAAATGAATATCAAAGTGATGAGTGAAGCATTTAACATAGTTCATTTTTTCCATACAACTATTTTCCATTTTAAATAAAATCAAAATTGTGTTACTGGAAGAAATTTACTCACTAGGAATTGTAAGATAAAATCAAGATAACACATATCATCAAAACAGTATCATAAACTTGTCAATGACAAGTATATACCTCTGACTCTTTCCTGGTTGTCATGTTCCTCCTGCTGCACATGTACCACCTCCTTTTCCGTTGAAACACTGCCGTCTGCTCTAAGCTTCTGCACATATCTCTCCTTCTTCACTAGCTCTTGTTCATCTGCTTTGTATATAACTGTTGTCTCCTTCACATCCGAGGCAACTTTCTCACGGTATATCTTTTTTATTTTATGGGCATGTAAATCATCTTGATTTACAACCTCTGGAAACTGATCATCCCAGTCCTGGTGGTGTCGTGGGTGATGATGTGGCATGTCTTGGAACTCATCATCTTCATCTTCATCGGCAGATGCTCCATCTACAGTTGCATCAGTAGAAGGAGGCATGTCTGCTGGCTTCTCAGGCTGCTCTTGCTCTGCTTTTTTATCTGTGATTTAAATAAAATATTAAAATATGTGTATTGTATGCAAGTGCTAGGCATAAACAATTCTTTAATAACACTATAAAATCTACATTTACTATATGATTATCAGTCTGGTTAATGAGGAGTGACAAAGATTTCTGAATTTTTCTCAAAATTTAAAAAACAATTTCTGTGATTTACTTACATAATAAATTGATCAAATTGCACACAGTTACTTAGAGTCGAATATTGTGGGGTTTTAAATACAAGTTAGTAAAACAAATAAAAATATTCTGTTGATATACAAGCATGCAAGGAATAAAACAAAACAAAACAAAAAAAAAATCACCATATGACTAATTCAAAAAGCAATTTTATTCACCTTGAGGGCCAACACCAAATGACTGACGAGTTTGTTTTGACATTAGTTTTTGTAATAAAAAAGAGGGATAAATCTAAAAAAAAAAAAAAGCTACAAAACCAACTAAGTATACTAATTCTATAATGAATACCCTTTCCCTAGGTTGGTAACAGGTTAGGCTCCTTGTTGTACTCATACCTTGACTGGGTTGTTTTATCATATCTGCCTCACTGCCATGCAATACAGACTGTGAAGCTGTTTTAGTGACCTTTTCAGCATTCACATTTTGTTCTTTGAGAACATCTGGAGCAGTGCTGTCTTGATCAGCTATGTCATCATGAAGGTCCTCTAGTGGCGGTCCCTCAGCTCCCTGTTGATTCTCCATGTAGTTGCCAGGTGGCTCCAGTTTCACAGCCTCTGTGTGTCCTGACTTCTGGAAGTCAGTGTGGGCTGCTGGCTGGGAGGTATGATGGATCGACTCCTGATGTGGCTCAGTCTTAGGAACAGGTTTGTGTTCAGGAAGATTTTGTTGCAGATTGGCCTGGTTCTGTTCTTGAAGGTGTAAGGTTTGTGTCTGTGTACTGTCCTGTGTGTGACTACGTGACTGACTTGATGAAGCTTGGACATTTCCAGGCTCTTGTTGTTGGTGCCTATTCTGATGTTGATTTTGTTCTTTGGTCTGTTGTAGATTAGTATGATGTTGGGACTCATGTTGGGGTTGCAATTTCCCTTTTACTTTCTGATGTTTTTCTGACTCTTGTTCATGTTGAAAATTTGAAAGTGATGGCGGTTGGTGTACAGTTATGTGTGGTTGTTGTGACTGTTCTTGGTGTGCTTGCTGGTAGTGTTCTACATGTTGCTCTACATTACTGGGTATTTTCTGCTGTTGTTGATGATCATTTTGACTTAATTGGATCTGTTGTTGCTGCTGTACATCTGGGTGTTCTTGGAAGTGCTTAACATCAGGGGGTTGTTGATGTATTGCACCATGATTTTGTTTGTTAGTTTGCTGCTGGTGTTGCTGTTTTCCAGGTTGTTGAATATGTTGTTCCTTTTTTTCTTGCTGCTGTAAGTTAACATTCTTTTGTTCTTCCCTGCTGTTAACTATCTGATGTTGCTGATGTTCTACAGATTGCACTTTGGAATGTTCTTTTTTTAAATGTTTTTGCTGCTGGTCAGGTGTTTTTCCTACTGTCTCAGTCTCTCTGGTTGGTTTCTGCTGTTGTCCGTCTTCTTTCTGATCCACTTTGTGTTCATTTCTGCTAATAGGCTCTCTTCTCTCATTAGTTATATCCTTTCCCTCACTGGAAAACACCATGGGTGTCTGGTGTGACTGTGATGTTTTAGTTTGCTTGTTGTGTTCTGCATTCAGGGTCTTACCTTTGGTATCTGTTGAAGATTTTTCTGTGGACTCAGACTCTTCTTGCTTTGAATTAGTGTCAACCTGTGCTTCATTTGCTGCTTGTTTGTGTTCAGTCACAATATTTTTATCATGCTTGGTATCAGAGTTTGTTGCAGTGGGGTTAGGTGAGTTTTTGTCTGCAGTTTCTTGGCAGTGGCAGAATGTAATGATGATTAAAATGTATAAAATCCTACAATACATAGTTCTTCTTGTCTGCATCACGAGGATCTAGTATAAGCACCACCTATTTGAAAAAGAATTAAAAATTCATGAAGCTTCCAAAAAGGCTTGCTGTTGTCATCTCTACTCATTATAGTATTTTCTACTCTTTTTTCATGTGTGGATTCCCATTAATATATAATGGATTATATCGAAATAAAGTAGTGATAATAATTAAATGAAATCATAGCAGAACTCTTGCAAATGATGATTTGGCTGAATTCATTTATTTAGTTAATCACTAATTGATACATGCTTCTGTTCCCAAACTGATTCTTATTTCAGGCTCAATCAAGGAGTTATAACAGAAGGAGATTACNCTATGGTATCGTTCCCTTCCAGCACATCGTCCAAATAATTACCTGTGAAAAAAATCGTCAGCATACAGCGGCGCTTTGACATTACTGATCTCGAATTCTAACGCGAAATAACGCATATGAAATTTATCTCCAAGCTGAGGAGAGCGACGCAGACGAAACCTTGAGGCCGGAGGCCCCCCGTAGCTAGCTCCGCCCATCGTAACAGACATCGGACAATAGAAAGGCTTGCGTGTAATCTCCTTCTGTTATAACTCCTTGGCTCAATTAAGGCTAAAAGGGTATCATAACTATTATCAAAAAGTGCCATCATAAAAATATTAGAAAGAATAAAAATATCTTTCTCACCTAATTTTCATTTAATTTTATTTAACACCTTTTAAACATGATATGGCTCTCACATAAATAATCGTAATTCGTAATGATTGTGTTGTATAATCAAAGAATAAGACTAAGACAAGAGATATAGGTCTAGTATTTATCACTCTTTTGTATGAAAAACAAATGCCATATTGAATTAGGTTTCCTGGGGGTATTACCTGTATCCAACTATATAAGGTTACCAAATTTTGTGACACCTACATCAAGTTAACAATGACAATGTGCGAGTAGTGGTTACTGGTTGTAGTTACTCTAATGCAACTTTTGCAAGGGTACCTGTAGCCTGTAGGGGATTGTTGGTTTACATACGAAATATGTCGCACATTTCTGAAAAATTATCGAATCAAAATTGAAATCAATCAAGAGCCCTACCTGGTGTTGTGTTGTTTGTACCGTCTGCAGATCGAAATATGTCAGCTTATCATTTTGTGCCACGTTAGTTATTGCACGACTGAAGAAGGTAAAGCCACTGAGGGTAACATCCGGCATCATGCGCGTGCGCAATTTGTTTGGCGATTTTGTTCTCAACTAGCGCATTGCGAATTTTAACGATAGACTAGATCTATAATAATTATCAGTTTATTAGCTGCAAAGGTGAGAAGAAAAAAAAGTATAGGCCTACCAATTTAAATACCCCAGGTTCATGTTGACATCAAATCGAGGTGCGACACAGAAATTAAGAAACTCTCAGCAATATCAAAAGACACATTTTAATATTTAAATGTGCCCAAATAGGCTACTAAGGAACAAACACGGTGGCGGATTTAGGGGGGAGGGGTTCAAGGGGCTCCTGACACCCCCCTCCGATTTCTGATAAAAATCACACCAATGGTCCCTTCTTTAAATTAGATTTTTGACCAGATGAATCATAGTTCTAAAGCGTACCAAATGGCACCGTTCGCCTTTAAAAATAAAATACCAATTTTTTTCGGGGCGCGCTCCAGGCCAA